GGGGTTTCACTATGTTGCCCAGGCTGGTCTCAAACTCCTGGGCTCAAGCAATCTGCCCGCCTCAGCTTCTCAAAGTACTAGGATTAGTGGCTTGAGCCACCACACCTGGCTGTGTCTTCACATTCTAAAATAACTGTAGGGAATGTTCCAGAGGGCCCTCCACAGCAAGGAAAATCAAGTATGTGTCTTCTGCAACATAAGCTTATGTGCCTTTTCAGCTGCTCATTTGCAAACACTATGTGTTTAGCTGAGCCTAGCTGTTTGGGGCGTAGGTATAATAATATGGCCTATTGGTTTCTCTAGATAGAAAAACTTTTTAGCATCTGAACTGGTGGCCCCTCTGTGAAAAAGAAAGATTTCTGAAGGTATCAGCCAGTTCCAAAGTGAGGTGGATTAGATGATGAGAGGTTAATTGGCTATGATCAAGGAAGATGTTTGCATCTGGGGAAACAGCTTTGGGGCAGAGATGATTTTATTTATTTATTTATTTATTTTTGAAATTGAGTCTTTCTCTGTTGCACAGGTTGGAGTGCGGTGGTATGATCTTAGCTCACTCCAAGCTCTGCCTTGTGAGTGATTTTCGTGCCTCAGCCTCCCAAGTAGCTGGGATCAGGCGCCTGCCACCATGCCCAGCTAATTTTTTGTATTTTTAGTAGAGACAGGGTTTTACCATGTTGTCCAGGCTAGTCCCAAACTTCTGACCTCAGGTGATCCGCCCACCTTCGCCTCTCAAAGTGCTGGGCTTACAGGCATGAGCCACTGTGGCCAGCCACAGAGATGATTTTAAATGGCCACTTGGGTAGGGCTTCTTATGGAGAAGACCTAGGGAGTTAGCAACTGGGCAGTTCTGCCAATAAACGGATAGCTTTGCAGGTAATAGGACTTTATAGCCCAAGTTTAATTGTTGTATCCCCTTTTGCCAGGAGTTGTTTGTATATAATATTTCTTTTGTTTTGTTTTTGAAATGGGTCTTGCTCTGTCACCTGGCTGGAGTGCAGTTATGCAATCATGGCTCACTGCAGCCTCAACCTCCCACTCTGAAGCGAACCTCTTATCTCAGCCTCCCGAATAGCTGGGACTGACCACAGGCATCCACCAGTGATATGGTTTGGTTGTGACCCCACCCAAAATTTCATCTTGAATTGTAATCCAAATTGTAATCCTCACGTGCTTCGGAGAGACCTGGTGGGAGGCGATTAGATGTCCTTTTAAACAATCCTTAAAGAGAACTATACTCTAGTCATATAATTTCAGATGTAATCATTTAAACATAAAATTGTTGCTTTATTGTCCCTTCCTATGGAATTAAAAACTGACATTTCCCCCCATACTCTAGCACTATTCTTCTCCTTGTTCTCTTGCTTGAGGGGTGTGGTTCTTTGTCCTGAACTGGTTATTCTTCCCTGTCCTCTTGGCTCCCAAGCAGGCCTGGCTTCTCCCCAGCTATCTTCAAGGAAAATAGGGGAGCAATTCTGAAAAAATATTTGAGCCCATGAAATGTTAGGTAAGTTCTCCAGATCATTAAGGATCTTGTGTGCTATAGATGGATAAATCATTACATTAGCAATAAAAAGGACATTTTTTCTCCTCTGAGCCCTGAAAAATGAAAGTGATTAGAAGCTAAGTGGCTAAATCAAACTGCATTGTAAAAAGCATTCTTGTCTTGCAAATAATCAGATATCCAGAGCAGTGCTATAAAAAGCATTTATTTTTTCCCCGTGATTCCATTGTAGGGAAAGAATACCATCCTAGGTCCAACTTAATTGGTGGAATAGACTGAGGGGAGAGGAAGAGCTGAGATGCAGTTGTTAGATAGACCTGCTAACTAGGGTGAACCAGGGACTGGGGAAGGCAGCTTGGCTCACAGCAGCGGTTTAACCCAGCCAAAAAGCAGTGATGTCCAAGGAATACTGTAAACTCTGGTTGTGGTTCAGGCAGAGGTTGACAAATGGGGGTTCCAGAGGGTGGGTAGAGCACCCCAATAAGAATTTTAGGCTGGTGCTAACAAGTCTAGGCAGACAGTTGCCATTTATAAGACAGTTGCCATTTATAAGGATGGTGTGTGTGATTAGTGGGGACTCTGGCCCAGAGCTAGGGATCAGGGCAGCACTTTAGTGTCTGGAGGAGAGGCCTGGCTAGAGTTACACAGAACCCCAGGCAGGTTTCTTAGGAGTTTCAGGATACTGGGTAAGTTACCAGTTCAGGAACTTGGAAATAGTCTAATAATTTTAAAATGTTATTTTCTCCTTCAAGCTGTAGAACATAGATAAAGACCACTTTCCAAAGCAGCTCTGAACCATTAATATTCCTACCAGTAGCGGGAGTTTTTCACACCTTGCCAACACTTGGTATTTTCCCACTTGTTTGTTATAGCCATCCTAATGGGAAGTGGTATCTCACTGTGGTTTTGGTTTGCATTTCCCTGATAACTAATGATGTTGAGCATCTTCTCATGTGTTTATTGCCCATCTGTATATCTTTTTTTCCATTTTTTTTTAAGAGACAGAGTCTCACTATGTTGTTCAGGCTAGTCTTAAACACCTGACCTCAAGCGATCCTCCTGCCTTGGCCTCCCAAAGTGCTGGGATTATAGGCGTGAGCCACCACACCCAGCCCTGTATATCTTTTTTCCCCCGTCTGGTTTCTTGTGTGTTTGGCATCATATTTAAGATATTGCCAAATCCAAGTAATGAAGATTTTCACACCTATATTTTTTCCTAAGTTTTGTAGTTTTAGCCCTTAGATTTAGGTCTTTGATCCATTTTGAGTTAATTTTTGTATATGGTATGAGTAGGGGTCCAATTTCATTCTTTTGCACATGGATATTCAGTTGAAAAGACTTCTTTCTCTAGTGAATTGTTTTAGCATCCTTACTGAAATTAATTGACCATACACCACTGAAGAATTTTAAGCAGAGGAGTGACATGATTTCTTTTACGCTTTAAGACAGTATTGCTGGCTGCTATATAGAGAGTGTATTGGAGAAGGCAAGAGTTTATGTAGGGAGACCAGTGAGTAGGAAACTGCAGTTATCTAGGCCAGAGATGATGGTGACTTGGGCCACAGTAGTGGTAGTAGAGATGGAAAGAAGGTTGTTATAACTTGGGAAGTAAAGTTAGTACAACTTGGGACTGCCTGGCCTGAGGGCAGGGCATAAAAAAAAGGAAAGGACAAAGATGACTCATATTTAGGTTGGGATCAAGGATTCTCTTCAGATTTGAAGTTTGGGTGGCTAAGCAGATGGTAGTGTTATTTACTACCACACAAATGGAAAAGCATGTTTTTAGAGGGGAATTAATGAGTTTAGTTTGGGATGAATTGAATTTGACTTCAAGGGGAGATGTCCAGAAGGCAGTTGAATGGGTCTACAGTAGAGCTTGACGGACAGCTCTGGGTTGGAGAGAGTGATTTGGGAGTCATGAGCACATAGGTGGGAGTAGAAGCTCTGGGAAAACTTGAGGAGAGACTAAAAAGAGTGAGAAGAGGTCCTAGGACTGTGTCCTCTGGTAGAAAGAACACAGAAGAAATGGTCAGTGAAGAGGAGGAAAACCAGAAGAAATCTGTAGGAATCTGGTGAAAGGAGGGAATTTTAAGAGGGGAAAGTAGTGATCAGTAGTGTCAAATGCATCACAGTGGTCTAGTAAAATAAGGCCAGAGAAGTTCCCATATTTCCATGTCCCTACACATAGAGGATTGTTTGTTTTACAAAAAAATCTCTTCATACTTCTTATGGGTGCCAATTTTAACAAAGTACTGTGGAACCAATAACTTAACCTTTGCACATTAATTTTCCACAACTAGTGTCTGAAGGTGTTGCTGGCAGCATCTGGTGGATATTTGTGTCTCAAGTGACGCCAGCTTTCACTGGCATCTTCTGCGCTAATCTTTCCCATCCTGAATTGAGGATATTAAAAGTCCAGCTGCAGTTTGGATTCCAAAATGAACTCTAAAGTGTTCTTAGACTGAATGTTCAATGTTTCCTTTCTTTTCTTTTTTATTTTATTTTATTATTTATTTTATAGATATGTGAAAGAGGCCAAAGAAGCAGCTAAGAATGGAGATCTGGAAGAAGCATTTAAACTTTTCAATTTGGCAAAGGACATTTTTCCCAATGAAAAGGTGCTGAGCAGAATCCAAAAAATACAGGAAGCCTTGGAGGAGTTAGCAGAACAGGGAGATGATGAATTTACAGATGTGTGCAACTCTGGCCTGCTGCTTTATCGAGAACTGCACGACCAACTCTTCGAGCACCAGAAAGAAGGTGTAGCTTTTCTCTATAGCCTGTATAGGGATGGAAGAAAAGGTGGTATTTTGGCTGATGATATGGGATTAGGGAAGACTGTTCAAATAATTGCTTTCCTTTCTGGTATGTTTGATGCTTCACTTGTGAATCATGTGCTGCTGATCATGCCAACCAATCTTATTAACACATGGTTGAAAGAATTTGGTAAGTGGACTCCAGGAATGAGAGTCAAAACTTTTCATGGTCCTAGCAAGGATGAACGAACCAGAAACCTCAATCGGATTCAGCAAAGGAATGGTGTCATTATCACTACATACCAAATGTTAATCAATAACTGGCAACAACTTTCAAGCTTTAGGGGCCAAGAGTTTCTGTGGGACTATGTCATCCTTGATGAAGCACATAAAATAAAAACCTCATCTACTAAGTCAGCAATATGTGCTCGTGCTGTTCCTGCAAGTAATCGCCTCCTCCTCACAGGAACCCCAATCCAGAATAATTTACGAGAACTATGGTCCCTATTTGATTTTGCTTGTCAAGGATCCCTGCTGGGAACATTAAAAACTTTTAAAATGGAGTATGAAAATCCTATTACTAGAGCAAGAGAGAAGGATGCTACCCCAGGAGAAAAAGCCTTGGGATTTAAAATATCTGAAAACTTAATGGCAATCATAAAACCCTATTTTCTCAGGAGGACTAAAGAAGAAGTACAGAAGAAAACAAGCAACCTAGACGTCAAACTTAATGAAAAGAATCCAGATGTTGATGCCATTTGTGAAATGCCTTCCCTTTCCAGGAAAAATGATTTAATTATTTGGATACGACTTGTGCCTTTACAAGAAGAAATATACAGGAAATTTGTGTCTTTAGATCATATCAAAGAATTGCTAATGGAGACGCGCTCACCTTTGGCCGAGCTAGGTGTCTTAAAGAAGCTGTGTGATCATCCTAGGCTGCTGTCTGCACGGGCTTGTGGTTTGCTAAATCTCGGGACTGTTACATTCTCTGCTCAAGATGAAAATGAAGGGGAAGATTCCCCAGACATGGACCATATTGATCAAATAACCGATGACACATTGATGGAAGAATCTGGAAAAATGATATTCCTAATGAGCCTACTTAAGAGGCTGCGAGATGAGGGACATCAAACTCTGGTGTTTTCTCAGTCGAGGCAAATTCTAAACATCATCGAACGCCTCTTAAAAAATAGGCACTTTAAGACACTGCGAATCGATGGGACAATTACTCATCTTTTGGAACGAGAAAAAAGAATTAACTTGTTCCAGCAAAATAAAGATTACTCTGTTTTTCTGCTTACTACTCAAGTAGGTGGTGTCGGTTTAACATTAACTGCAGCAACTAGAGTGGTCATTTTTGACCCTAGCTGGAATCCTGCAACCGATGCTCAAGCTGTGGATAGAGTTTACAGAATTGGACAAAAAGAAAATGTTGTGGTTTATAGGCTAATCACTTGTGGGACTGTAGAGGAAAAAATATACAGAAGACAGGTTTTCAAGGACTCATTAATAAGACAAACTACTGGTGAAAAAAAGAACCCTTTCCGATATTTTAGTAAACAAGAATTAAGAGAACTCTTTACAATCGAGGATCTTCAGAACTCTGTAACCCAGCTGCAGCTTCAGTCTTTGCATGCTGCTCAGAGAAAATCTGATACAAAACTAGATGAACATATTGCCTACCTGCAGTCTTTGGGGATAGCTGGAATCTCTGACCATGATTTGATGTACACATGTGATCTATCTATTAAAGAAGAGCTTGATGTGGTAGAAGAATCTCACTATATTCAACAAAGGGTTCAGAAAGCTCAATTCCTTGTTGAATTTGAGTCTCAAAATAAAGAGTTCCTGATGGAACAACAAAGAAATAGAAATGAGGGGGCCTGGCTAAAAGAACCTGTATTTCCTTCTTCAACAAAGAAGAAATGCCCTAAATTGAATAAACCACAGCCTCAGCCTTTACCTCTTATAAGTACTCATCATACTCAGGAAGAAGATATCAGTTCCAAAATGGCAAATGTAGTTATTGATGATCTGACCGAAGAGGGTGAGAAACAAGATCTTTCCAGTATAAAGATGAATGCTACCACCTTGCAAGATGGTAGGCACCCATGTGAAAGTAGATGTAGTGCTGACTCTATAGCTACTTTACCCAAGGGGTTTGGGAGTGTAGAAGAACTTTTTACGAACTCTTCATTGGGAATGGAAAAAAGCTTTGCAACTAAAAATGAAGCTCTACAAAAAGAGACATTACAAGAGGGGCCTAAGCAGGAGGCACTGCAAGAGGATCCTCTGGGAAGTTTTAATTATTTACCCAGCAAATCAACCAAAGCTGATCTTGGGCCAAATCTAGATCAACTAAAGGATGATGAGATTTTACATCATCGCAATCCTTGGCCCATTATTTCCATAACAAATGAAAGTCAAAATGCAGAATTGAATGTATCCATTAATGAAATAGTTGATGACTTTTCAGCATCCCATAGTGTACTGCAGGATGCTCAAGCAAATGAGGCCAAGTTGAAAGAGGAAGCTTCAGCATCTTCACCACAGTATGCATGTGATTTCAATCTTTTCTTGGAAGACTCAGCAGACAACAGACAAAATCTTGCCAGTCAGTCTTCAGAGCATGTTGAAAAAGGAAATAGCTTGGGTGGCTCTGCAGCTAATTCCAGAGCAGGGTTTGTGCATAGCAAAACATGTCTTGGTTGGGAGTTTTCTGAGAAAGATGATGAACCAGAAGAAGTAGTAGTTAAAGCAAAAATCAGAAGTAAAGCTGGAAGGATTGTTTCAGATGATGAAGATGAAGATGATTCTTTTAAAGATACCTCAAACACAAACCCATTCAACACATCTCTCTTTCAATTCTCATGTGTGAAAAAATTTGATGCTTCAACTCCCAAAAATGACATCAGTCCACCGGGAAGGTTCTTTTCATCTCAAATACCCAGTAGTGTAAATAAGTCTATGAACTCAAGAAGATCTCTGTCTTCTAGGAGGTCTCTTATTAATATGGTTTTAGACCATGTGGAGGATATGGAGGAAAGACTTGATGACAGCAGTGAAGCAAAGGGTGCCGAAGATTATCCAGAAGAAGGGGCAGAGGAAAGCAGTGGCGAAGCCTCTGAATGTGCAGAAGAGGATCCTTCCGGAGAAACACAGTCTTCAGAAAACAAGTCCAGCTGGTCAATCATGTCTAAGTCTAGTGCTCTAGCTCAGGAGACCTCTCTTGGTTCCCCTGAGCCCTTGTCTGGTGAACAGTTGGTTGGTTCTCCCCAGGATAAGGCGGCAGAGGCTGTGAATGACTATGAGACTCTTGTAAAGCGTGGAAAAGAACTGAAAGAGTGTGGAAAACTCCAGGAGGCCCTAAACTGTTTAGTTAAAGCGCTTGACATAAAAAGTGCAGATCCTGAAGTTATGCTCTTGACTTTAAGTTTGTATAAACAACTTAACACTTGAGAATGTAACCTGTTTATTGTATTTTAAAGTGAAATAATATGAGGGAATTTTTGTTTCCATAATTGGATTATTTGGGAACATGAAGCATTCAGGGTTAAGGCAAGAAAGATCTCAAAAAGCAACTTATGCCCTGCAACTCCCCCACTCCATAGTCTGGTATTCTGAGCACTAGCTTAATATTTCTTCACTTGAATATTATATTTTAGACATATTCTGTAAACTGTGTTGTTTCTTGGAAAGTTTTGTAAAATTACTCTGGCCATTCTTAATTTTACTCTGAAAGTGATCATCTTAACAGTTCACATAAGAGAAAAGTTACTTTTCTTGTGTTTTCCATCCACTTTCTTTCACTGAGATGATACTGGCAGAAGCTTGTCATTAGCATTCCAGATCTTAAGAGATGCTTGTGAACAAGCTGTTTAATGCTTTCAGCTTAATATAGATTGGTGTCCCTAATCCAAAAATCCAAAATGGGAAACCTTCTGAATGCTGACATGATGCCACAAGTGGAAAGTTCCATACCTGATGTCATGTGACATGTCACAGTCAAAATGCAGGTGTATAACACAGTTTACTCAGCATCCCCAAAGGAAAAGAGACCCTGTCAGCCCCCTTCAACTACTATATATCCTTTCCACACAGACCCAGATTCTTCCATGCAAGCCTGTCTACAAAGGATAATGAAATGGCTCAACATACACAAACTTTGTTTCATGCACAAAATCATTAAAAATAATTGTATAAAATTACCTTCAGACTGTATATAATGTGAATACAAAACATAAATGGATTTCATGTTTAGACTTGGGTCCCATCCCCAAAATATCTCATTATGTGTATGCAAATACTCCCAAATCCAGAACACTTCTGATCCTCAGCATTTTGGATAAAGGGTACTAAACTGGAACAGCAGAAAGCTGAGATAGGTACCTGGTGCTAGGATTCTTGATCACTGGTAGCTTGCCCTGGAGTCACTGCTGACCATTTAGCTATTCTTCATGCACCATTAACTGCGTTCTTTTCTCCACACCAAGTATCTCGTCTATTCTGACACATGCTATCACAGTTTATCTTTGGATTGTAGACTGAAAAGGAGTTACCTTGCAGAAACATAAAGTGCAGTATAGCACACTGGACTCTGTCACCAGAGAAGTGGACTATACTTGATGAGGTACTCTGTATTGAGCACTCTGCACAGGTTTCTCATTTCGGCCTTACCATAATCCTTTGAGGTGGAGGGAGAGTAGCATTTCCATTTTTCATTTGAGGAAACAAAGGCTTAGTAAGGCCATCACTTCCCCATGGTGACGTAGTTGGAGTGAAACCGATTTTTAATCTTGTGTAAATGAATATAATACACTGAGCTGTTTTTACTCAAAACACTTCTGACACCAAATGTGGGAGTTTTCCACATCAAGCAGTTCTCCAGTTCAAAACTGAACTGGTGTCCTAGAATTCAATTTTGACAGTACCCAGAATTAGCATCAGACTCCACAAGTTTAAGGGCTCAGTCCCACCAGACTGCCCTCACTTCAGGCGTCAGTTGTAAGTATTCAGTTCCCATGTTACCCACACTTCTGACTTGGCTACAAATCAGGGATTCCCATGACCTCACCATCCCACTCCCTGGTTTAATAATTTGCTAGAATAGTTTATAAAACTCAGGAAATGTTTACTTACTATTACCAGATTATTAAGAATATAACTCGACCAACCAAATGAAAGATGCACAGGGCAAGGTATGGGGGTGGTGCATTACGCATCCATGCCCTCTGGGCATACCACCCTCCCAACATTTTGATGTGTTAATCCAGGGCTCTCCAAACTCTATTTAGGGTTTTTGAGGTTTCCTTAGGGAGGTGTGATTGATAAAATAATTGGCCCTGGGTGATTAACTCAATCTTCAGCCCCTCTCCCCGCAACAGAGGTTGCAGTTAGGGCTGAATATTCCCTCTAATCATGCCTTGTTTCTGGTGACCAGCCCCCATCCTGAAGCTACTAGGGGCCTCCAGCCACGAGCTATCTCATTAGCACACAAAAGATAACCAATTGAGATTTCAAGGCTTTCAGGAGCTATATATGCCAGGAACCAGGGACAATAACCAAATATTTATTTTTATTATATCCCATACATATAAAAGTTACTTGTAAATTATATATATATACACACTAATAATCTCATGTGTATTATAAGAGATTACAGAAGTTCAAAAGAGATAAGCTGAATTTCAGGTTATTGATGGAACAAAATTTTGCTCTTACTAAAAGCAACTATTAATATTTTAGGGTAATGTGATTGAATATCATTTTTGAAATATTGGTATAACTGTGTGATTCGGCAGTTCAGTCTGCATCTAAGTTCAGCTTACCATTTCTGTGCTTCCCACCGTGATAAAGGTGAAGGGAGTGACTGCGCCCTACATCTTTGTTTTCCGTTTCCCTTCTACCACACACACAAATGTTTGTTAAAATTCAGTTAACATCTGTCAGAAGACTTTTCTATACAGTGGAAAAAAAAAATTCAGCTAATAAATTTCTTTCTTCCCTGATGTAGAAAACAAAAAACCCATACGATTTATTTGCCTGCAAGGAGGTTTTAGTGGCCTATATCCATTTGATTGGAACAGTGAAGCGTTAAGTCCTCGGTGTATTTCTTACTGAAAATAGCAATGCTCTTTCTGTTCAAGTGTGTGTGTGCTATGACAAATTCTGTTTGGGGAAAAAAATACATACTCATGTTTGAAATACTATTCAAACAGTATCCATGGCAGGGATTTTTAACCTGGAGTTCATGGGTAGAAGAAGTCAGTTGTCTGTGAATTTGGATGGGAAAAAAATTTTATCTTTTATCTCACTATCTCGTAGCTGAAATAATAGCATTTCCTTTCATCATGAATGTGAAGCAGGAAAATAGGGTCTGGAGGCAGGGGATTTAAGACCGATTCACACTTCAGCTATGACAGGAAATATCCTCTCCATAGGGCATAGGCCTAGTAAATGACTTTATCCTCTCCATTTACATAGGGCGCACGCCAGGTAACCAATGGAATCCTCTAGGGGTTATTTAAACTCCCCAAAATTCTCTAACAGGGCCTTTTGAGCTCCTATGCTTGGTCATGCTCCCACACTGTGGAGTGTACTTTCATTTTCAATAAATGCTTTTGTCCCTTCCTTGCTTTGTTTGTGCGTTTTATCCAGTTCTTGGTTCAAGACGCCAAGAACCTGGACATCGTTCACTGTTAACAAATGTAGCCATAAACTGCAGAAGGATTAGTAGTAGTTACCATGTCACCAGTAGAAATCACATAGACTTCAGGGTTAGTGCAGATATCTCAAAATACCATTGATATTCATTACTGCAAACTCAGTGCTTTTTAGACCTACCACCAGGTATTACTTAATATATTAACAAAGAGGCACACACACATATTACAAACTGTTTTTTTCTGAGACAGGGTATTACTCTGTCACCCAGGTAGCAATGCAGTGGCACAATCTGGATTCACTGCAACCTCCGCCTCCTGGGCTCAAGCAATCCTCCCGCCTCAGCCCCACCTGCCCCCGCCAGGAGTAGCCGGGACTACCGGTGTGCACCACCGTCATGCCTGGCTAATTTTTGTATTTTTGGTAGAGACGGTTTCACCATGTTTCTTAGGCTTGTCTCGAACTTCTGAGCTCAGGCAATTGACCTGTCTCGGCCTCCCAAAGAGCTGGGATGGATTACAAGCATGAGCCACTGCGCCCAGCCACAATTTTAAAACTTTTGATTTAGCTGTGTACCTCATAAAAAAACAAAAAAACCTTTTGATTCTTTCAGCATAATGTCTTTTGTAACCCTATGTATTTTACTTTATGCATTTAAAGTCAACATTTTTTTCTTTTTTGAGACTGGGTCTCACTCTTGTCACCCAGGCTGGAGTGCAGTGGTGAGATCACGGCTCAGTGCAGCCTTAACTCCTGGGTTCAAGCAACCCTCCTGCCTCAGCCTTCCTCCTGAATAGCAGACACTACAGGCACATACAATGCCCAGCTAATTTAAAAAAATTTTTTTAGACAGGGTCTCACTGTGTTGCCCAAGCTGGTCTTGACCTCCTGGCCTCAACTGATCTGCCCTATTCAGCCTCCCAAAGTGCTGGGATTTCAGGTTTGAGCTACCACATCCAGCCTAAAATAAACATTTTGAAAAGGGATCCATAGACTGGGGCAAACTGCCAAAGGCTACATGGCACAAAAGAAAGGTTAAGACCCCTGATCTCAGGGTGTGAGGTAAAAAGTCTCTTACCCTCCTGTCCTGGAGTTCTGGATTCCCATTCCCAGAGATAGTCTATGATGTACAAGCTCAAGTACATATGTGTATATATTTATGTTGCTACCCAAATGATTATGTATACTATTCCGTACCTCATTTTAAATTTTAACACAACTACATGATATTCTGTTGAAGGATATACCATAATTTATCATCATCTATTGTTGGTGTTCAGTTTGTTTTCAAATAATGCTGTAAGACATATGATTATAGGATACATTCCTAGAAATGGAGTTGCTGGGTCAAAGGGCTTATTTATAAATTTGACAAGTATTGCCAAACTATTCTCCACAGAGGATATAATTGCATTTCTACCATTAATGAATGGATGAATGTCCGTTTCCCCATACCCTTACCAAACAACGTTAAACATTTTGAACTTTACCAATCTGACATATAAAAAGAGGGAACTTGTATCTTATTTTGATTTTAATTTGCAATTATTTTACAATGAAGGATGTTTGTTTTGTAAACACTGAAAGAGATATAGTCTTAAAGCAGAATTAAATGCATATCCTATAATGTATATAAATCTGTATAAATCCTTCATTTTTTTCATTTGCCAACTTTTTTTTTTTTTGAGACAGAGTTTTGCTCTGTCACCCAGGCTGGAGTGCAGTGGTGCAATCTCGGCTCACTGCAACCTCTGCCTCCCAAGTTCAAACAATGCTCCTGCCTCAGCCTCCTGAGTAGTTGGGACTACAGGCACGCACCACCAAGCCCAGCTAATTTTTGTATTTTTAGTAGAGATGGGGTTTCACCATGACGGCCAGGCTGGTCTTGAACTCCTGGCCTTAATCCACCCACCTTGGCCTCCCAAAGTGCTGGGATTACAGGCATCAGCCACGCTGCCTGGCCCATTTACCAACTCTTTCAGAATCTTAGTTGTCAATCAAAAGCTAACTTCCCAAAGGTTCGCTTGGTGTCAGAGGTCCATTCCTGCCTTACTTTCTCACAGGTTACCTATAACTGCTCTCTCCATACCACAGAATTTAGTTTGCTTTTTCTAGTCCACCTTTCAGCACTCTGGGTTCTTTCCTTTGTGGTGACATCTATGCAACAGGTATTCACTTAGTATCCTAGGCAAGCCAATGTCCCAAGCAAAGGACTCAGCTCGGTAGTGTCTCATGCTTACATAGCTTTTCAGAATTTACTGCCCTTATTTGGACAAATTGTTTTGTTTTGAATTTATTAATTTATTTTGGGATGGAGTCTCTGTCACCCAGGCTGGAGTGCAGTGGTGCCATCTCAGCTCACTGCAGCATCTGCCTCCTGAGTTCAAGCAATTCTCGTTCCTCAGCCTCCCAAGTAGTTGGGACTACAGGCGTGTGCCACCATGCCCGGCTAATTTTTGTACTTTTAGCAGAGATAGGGTTTCATCATATTGGCCAGGCGGATCCTAAACTCCTGATCTCAAGTGATCTGCATGCATCGGCCTCCCAAAGTGTTGGGACTGCAGGCGTGAGCCACTGCGCCCGGCCTAGAGACATTGTTTTTAATATAGTTTTCAAAGTACACATAGGCCGGGTGCAGTGACACTTGCCTGTAGTCCCACCTACTAGGGAGGGTGAGGCAGGAGGGTCACTTGAGCCCAGGAGTTTGAGGCCAGCCTCAGCAATGTAATAAGACCCCATTCAATGTATCATTTAAAACAAAATCAACCAATCAATCAATAACATGTAGTTTCAGCTTTAAACTTTTTTTTAGACATGGGGTCTCACTGTGTTGCCCAGGCTGGAGTGCAGTGGATATCCAAACGTGCAATCCCACTATTAATCAGCACAGGAGTTTTGACCAGCTCAGTTTCCATTCCTGGGCCAGTTTACCCCTTTTTAAACAACCTGGTGGTCCTTCACTCCCAGGAGGGTACCATGTTTTTCTTTCTTTTTTTTTTAAGAGGCAGAGTCTTTGTCACCCAGGCTGAAGTCTGAAGTGCAGTGGGCATGGTTATAGCTCACTGCAGCCTCAAACTCTGAGGCTCAAGTGATCCTCCCACCTTGACCTCCTAAAATGCTGGGATTATAGGCATGAGCCACTGTGCCCGGATGAGGTCACCCACCATATTGATGCTGAACTTAGTGCTGATACCCGATTGGCAAAGGACACTACAGCCCAGAACTCCTGGGCTCAAGTGATCCTCCTGCCTCAGCCTCCCAAGTAGCTAGGACTATAGGCGCATACCACTCGGCCCAGCCGTAGTTTCAGTTTATATCTATTTGAACATCCCTATATACTAGTATATCTGCTCTGTGGGGAAAATCTCATGGAGGCATAACCTACTGAGGTGCTCAGAAACTCCTCTACTCAAGTGGGAAAGTAGTCAGGTCTCTAGGTAAAGTTGCCATTATATAAGTGGGTATAATATCAAATGCAGCTGAGGGAGAGAATGCAGAAATGCAGTGTTTTTGTTTGCTTGTTTGTTTCTGAGACAGAGTTTTCACTCTTGTTGCTTAGGCTGGAGTGCAATGGCACGATCTTGGCTCACCGCAAACTCCGCCTCCCGCATTCAAGAGATTCTCCTGCCTCAGTCTTTTGAGTAGCTGGGATTACGGCATGCGCCACCATGCCCGGCTAATTTTTTGTATTTTTAGTAGAGACGGGCTTTCTCCATGTTGGTCAGGCTGGTCTGGAACTCCCGACCTCGGGTGATCCACCCGCCTCGGCCTCCCAAAGTGCTGGGATTATAGGCGTGAGCCACCGCACTCGGCCTGTAGTGTGTTAAAATAATCACTGTTAAGAATCACATAGCTGTGTTGGCAAAGTTTTATTTCTGAAGCAGTATAGTATTTTCATTAGTAATCTTTATACTTTTTTGTATGTCATAAATATGGCATTTTAAATTTTAAAAATTTAGATGCATACAACATTGGCCCTGGAAAGGACAGTCCTAATGTAACCCATACGCTGAAGATGAGGGAATGAGGTTTTTATGCTGACATCCATCCCTTTAGCCAGCACTTGGTTAGTCTAGCACAAAACAACCCATGGAAGAACTGAGTTCTTTTCCGTCCAAAAAACATTTATTTTAAAAGAAAGGAGTTAACACTGAAAGCCTATAATGTGCCACATACTATGTTAAGAGAGCGGAGCTATTAATAAATGTCCTGGAAGATCAGAGTTGACTAACATGTAAAACAAATGTTGTCCGGGAATTTATTTTATGATTCTCATATACTAATCTATTTGATGCCCAATATTTTCAGTTGTGTGAATAGTGTGAGTTGATATCTGCTTCCCCTGAAGATGGTCTCTGAATTAATTTATGGGACAGACTGAGAGTCAGATATAGTTCTGAGAGGAAAGGGAATACAGGTTAAAGGGAGTCTGCTTGACTTCTCTTTGAGAATGACTGACTGAATACCTACTGCAGTAGACACTTATCCCCACCTTCTCTCACACCTACAAACCCATACTGACAGAGCCTCCACAAAATACAAGAAGCATCCAATATCTTTTCTTTTTAAAAATTTTTGTATTTCCTTGCAACTCCAGCTCAAAAGAATACCCAATACCTTTTAAAGAAACAAAATGTATAAAACTTATTCAGTCTTTCATATGATTTTATTTTCTTCCTTCAACCATAATAATATGATATCCAAATTTTGTCTTAACTGGTGGGTCTGTAAACACAGGCTTATCCATCCCACTTACAGGCAAGGCAAATGCTGCTTCTTGAAATGGTCCTACCATGGACCCTCTGGTCATCCAACCCAAGTCGCCCTGAAAAACCCAAAAGATAAGTGATATTGATTGGCCCTAAAGAGGGAACAGTTCTGGTGTAGCTTGAGAGAATTTCCCAACATTTTGCTAAGGTTATGAGGTATATTCCTAAGAGCAATACAGGAATAGGCTCAATAAGGACAAATAGGTGGAAGAAGTCTAACTCTAAACCGAACACATAAGCACTCAACACTGCTAGATTTTCAACTTAGCTGTGCAAGTTTGGTCATGCCTAGCTTTAGACATAGGTGACCCTTATTCTACTATTTGTAAGTTGGATATTCTGCTTTTGAGATCTTTAAACTAAAATATGGTTATTTTACAACTAATGGTTGAACAAAAGAAGTAATCCCTACTTTTGTGTTTCTTCTGTGGAGGACGGAGAAGTTTATTTTATTATTTGTCATTTTTATTTTGCTCCCTCACCCTGACTGACAGAAAATTATAAATAATAAGAGCAACGTACCCCTTGCCTGGCTTTATCTTCACTATATTGTGCAGCCACTTCATTGAATCTCGTCCCAGACTTTAACTTTTCCATGGCTTCCATGATTTTGCCATGTTTTTCACATAGAATGTGTCTGACCTGCAAGAAAAAAGTACATTCATGGAATACTTGGAGACCCAAATAACTCCTCAAAGTACAGCGGTTACATT